TTAGAACTTTATCAATTTTAGTATTAACACCTCCTCCTTTGGATTACAAAAGACAAGAATATCTTTACCAGAATATTTGTCCATTTGTTAGAGATGAATTCAAAGATATTACTTGTTCAAGACCAAGATGAATGCATTAAAATATATTTATATATGTAATTGATTATAATAAATGTGTAACTATTAACTATTTCTCATGACAAACCAAGAATATGAAAATCAAGCCTGATTAACAAATTGATTAAGGCTGAAAGCAAAACAAGAAGAAAAGGATTTTAACAATTTAGCCAGTGTTAAAGAAAAAATTAGAACTCTTTGTTTTATTCAACAAGGCTATACTGGTAAAGTAGTAATAGAGAACTTTCCTGATTTAACTCAGTTGAATTTAGGTAATAATGAATTAGAAGAGATCATTATTCACAATTGCCCTGATTTAAAATTAGTTCAAGTAGCTCACAATAAACTTACTAAGTTAAAGATAGAGAACTGTCCAAATGTTCAAGAAAACTATACTCATAATAACCAATTAACTAAGTGAGACTTTCCAGTTGAAGAATTAAAGCTAAAAACTTACAAACTATTTCTTCTAGTGAAGAAAAAGTTAGATTAGATGCTTTAGGATTAAAAGATAGAAAGCAGAGTTGATGGCGATGCCTAAACTTGGTTAGATGCTAAATATCCTCTTGACAAAAGAAATGAAGTGGAAAAACTAGATCTTAGCAGTTTAGGATTACAAGGAGAATTAAACTTGGAAGGATTTACTAATTTAAAGAGTTTAGATTGTAGTGATAATGAACTAACTGATTTGGATTTGTATGAGTGTAAGAAATTGGAATATTTGGATTGTTCAAATAATTATCAAAATGAAGAGGGAATTGATTTTTTAGATGTTAGTGCATGTAAGGAATTAAAAGAATTACATGCTAATCATTGTGGCTTAGGATTTTTGGAATTGGCAGAGCAAATACATACTTTAAAATTGGCTTCCAATAATCTAAGCAGCCTTTGACTTGATTTAACTAATCTTGCTGATTTAGAGTATTTAAATGTTGGTTTAAATGTTTTAGGTAGTTTAAATTTGACTAATAATAAAAAATTAAAGCACATTTACTGCTATGAAAATCAGATTGAAGAACTAGAAGTAAAGCATTTAACAGAATTAGAGAACTCATTTTGTTATCATAACAATTTGAGAAAATTGGATTGCAGTGGACTAAAAAACTTAAAAGATTTATATTGTGCTAATGCTTCCATTGATTTTGACAATTTACTAAAAACATTGAATGTTGATGGTTGTGAAGCACTAGAGAATTTGGATTGTGCAGAAAATAATGGTCTGAATGAATTAAATCTTATTAATTTACCTAAACTCAGTTTTGTTTCTATTAAAGAATATGGTCTTAATCAACTTGAAATCAAAAATTGTCCTAGTTTGGAGTTTTTGGATTTTAGTAGTGTGAGATCAAAATTCTGCATCTCACACAAATCTCTTGATTTGGTTAAAATATTATTTATCCCTTGTTACGGTAGTATCCAATTATGTAATTCTTTGATTACTTCTCTCACTATAGCGCTCCAGCTATTTAATTATTTACAGGGCAAGTTTTCTTACTTCCCTTCTGGTAACATTTTCTCAGCAGTTCTTTGTTATCTGCCTGAGCCAGCACGTCTCAATGATATTTATAATATCTCAAGTATCCGCCATGATACTTTCTACACTGATTATTATATTTATGGTTCAGCCTCTTAACTGACCACACCTAGCTAGGATTTCCACTATTTAGGCGTTGGCCTAATCTAAATAAAAATAAAGAAAATAAAATTAAAAGAAAAATACACACACAACTATACTTATCAAAGGCATCCCTCTGGTAAGATTAAGGTTTCTGGCCAAAACTGCTTCTATTAGTAGCCGTAATTGCCCAAATACTTTGGGCAAAAATTATTTTTTTATAAGCCCAAACTACTTTTTGTTATTAGCTGAAATTGGGCAAAATTATTTTAAAGTTGTTTAAGTTAAAACAAGTTGATTCATATAGTTTTTTAATGTTCATGGTTATAAAAAATGTTGAGAAGCCCAAATTGCCCAAACTAGTTTGGGATTTGAGAAAACAGTTTGGACCAGAAACCTTAGGTAAGATAGTAATTAATTAATATTTAGTTAAAGATTTATGTGGTTTTGGAAGCAGGTGGATAATTCCACTGGCAATAGATTATTTTAAGAGATATTTATGTTTGTATTTTATTAATAAGATATTATTGTTATTACAAGATAATAGTTAAGAATGAATTAACTTATGAACTGACTATTACATGAAAGAGAAATTTACAACGTATTTATACATGTTAAAGGTTCTATCATCTGGTTATCCAACTTTGTTGAAATCCTAATTTATACTAATTAATATATTCTTTAAATATCATTTGAACCTTCTGTGTAGAATTATTTTCAAGTAATTTCTAGTCAACATGAGTCATGTAAAATCCTTTCATTTAAATATTATTCTAGACTTTGTAATTCGTTACATTTTAGAATGTTGGGATATTTATATCTCCAATATTTAGTTATTTTCTGAGAGTTATTTATCTCATTGGTGCGCCTTATTAATTAGTGTAACGTTTATTAAATTATCTCTTAAACGGTCAGAGTATTCTTAATGGTAACACAAATTAAAGTTTTGATCATTCTTATTGGTCAATTTAACGATCAGCAAAGTAAAAACAGTCAATCGACCAACTTTTAAAGAAGATTTTACAAAAACCATAAGGACAACAACTGGATTTTTATTTATAGGTTAATCGGCTGAATCTCAAAGATAATTTTCGTATTAGAAAAGTGATGCCTCAGAAAAAATTTTTTACATCAGAAAAATTTTATTGGCTATCAATAGCCGATTAACCATTTAGGGGATACTGGTTTATTTCTTGTTGAGTTATTCCGTGATAATCGTTTCCAAATTTTCACTTCGTAACATATGTAAATCATTTCCGATTTATATGTTCGTTTCCCGTTATCTATAATTTAGCATGGTGGACATTCGAATGTTGCACCAATTTTTTATGCTGTGTAACGTAATTTTTAAAGTAAAAAAACAGTGTGCTCAATTAAAATGGGTATACGTTGACGCGTGACACGTCTGTAACTTTACAGAGATATTCTTTAACGTTTTTTAAATTTAATTCCAGCTGCATCCGTCG